TGACCAAGTAGTAAGTTTCTATTCCCAAAGTCAATGTTCTGTCCATTGTACAGTGGCTCTTGGTAAAATGACAAATAAAGAAAGGTGATCACCTTTAATTCAGTGTCTGTTAGGTTCAGCGTCATAATCCCTATGATCTGATGTTCAAGGATGAAACCTCATTAATATATACACTTAGTTAGCAGTATAGAAAAATGCACTTTGTGTAAAGAGAAGCAGCACGAGGGCAGTGCTGGAGCAGTGCTGTGGGTCAGCAGCAGCTGGGTAGCTGAATCCATCACAGGCTGTTCTAATCTGAAATGATTAATCTCAAACAAATGAAGATTTACTGGTTTCATATTTGTGTAATTCCACTAAATTAATGACCTGGTGATATAAGGAGACCAGAATAAATTAAAAGGATGTCAACTTCCAAGCAAAAAATTGGCTTTCAAATTACAACCGTTGAGACTTCATCACTAAAACAATGTACTGATGGTTGAAAAAACCACACACACAGAGACACATACACAAAGATATATATCCTATTTACACATAATGCTTCAGGTATTTTTGGTAGTCTTTCATGTTCCCATGAAACTCACTGCAGTTTGGGTTCTGTTGCTAAGTTCTCCAGCTTCAGATATTGCATTTGAATTCTCCTTAATGAATTAGATATGCTTTAGAGCTATAATAAACTTTTCTTGTGAAGATGTTTCTGAAGCATTGAGTCATGTTGCTTACTGAGAATAAATACTGCAATAATATATTTACATAAATAATTTAAAATGCAAGAGCACAGTAGGTAATAAAAATATACTGCCACGATAAACCATGAAACCAGAGAACAACATTGCTTTAATTAAAAATTACAAATACACTGCAGTAAACAACTTATTTACACATAGTTAGAAGACTAACTATTGAATATCCTGTACTTGTTGAATCCAAAAAAGGAAAAAATACTGAAACCAATCTCTTCACGCAGACAAATATTGAGGACCGTAACTGTGTTTAATTAAGATCTACTGTTAATAATGGATTTCAGAGAGCGAGGCTCTTCTTTTAATTTCCCAAGGTAGAAAATGTTATTAAATTTGGCCTTTAACTTCTCATTGACATGTACACTTGAAACTTATGATTAAAATTTTAGAGGTTGGGAAGAAGCACCCAAATTAAACTCTTAAATCTGGCACAAAAATAACAACGATCCCTGATTAAGAAATCAAATTTCAGAAACTTCATTACTGTTCTATTAATAAATTGTTGGGTTATAATTAAAATGAGGCCTGCTGGATTTCTTTCATTTTTTAATTCTACAAAAGTTGGAAACTGTAGAGGGAATTAAACACTTAAAAAAATAGGTTAATGAATGTAAGAAATGTGATCTCATTTGAACAGGTTCCTTTTCTTTCTGGGAGTGATCACAGCAGAACAAACATTACTTTCCACTCAAAGGTATGTGTTCAGGAAAACCACTGGTTCTGCCTGCTCCTTCATCTCTACAACACCCACAGTCCAAAGCTCACTACACTCTTTGCAGACTTTTCATGGGAAATCATAGATCTGGGTATAGTTGTGAAAGTCAGTGTTAACCTAGCTTTAAACAGGTATAGTTCAGAGTAAGATTAAACTTGACGCCTACGTTATTTACCTGGTCAGTATGAGCATGAGGTTCTTGTTTCCAGGATGATGCTTTTACCTCTACCTTGAGTTTCTTTGAAATGTTAACGTCAAGAGATCAGAGAAGAGCTGACACCACGAAAGTTCACTGCTAATCGTGTGCAGACAAATAGCTAGAGCTCAAGGTACGTGCTTTCGAGTCTTACAAATAGTTGGAGTCATATTTTTTTCAGTGTAATACATTTTTGCCAGCTTGTTTGAGCTTTTAAATGAAATTCTTTCTAAGTATGCAAAAACACTTCAGGTTGAAAAATAAGAAAGATAATTGCTTGAAAAGTACAGCTGTCTTTAGGAATTTTTAGGAAGTAAGCCACGTTTTTCAAAGAGGTAAGTAATTCTGATTCAGATATGCAATGCTGAAAGAACAAATTCAATCTAGATGTGGACAATGGCACAAAAGGTTTCTATATGCTATTCATGGTTCTTCAAATGTATTTATGACATTGTATCCAGTAGAGTAACTAAATTTCCTGACTACAAATAATCATCCTCCCCTACAAGTTTTATGTAGAAAACTAACTGAAAATATCTCTGCAGATAGACAGATCTCAATCGTTATGCCTTAAAAATAAAAAAAAGCAACGTTATTAATTCTCTGTTATTTTTTTGTTTGTATCTGCCTGCACATATTGAACAGCTGTATACTTTGTTGGGAGTGATGGGCATTGTTCACATAGCACACACAACCCTAACCTGGTACTCGCTGCTTCCTGCGGACACACAACCTCGCCTGTTCACGGTCTTTGATATGAGTCTTTGATAGACTCATCTAGAAGCCTGCATTGTGCCTGCTTGGCCTTTATTTTACCAGTACAACCATAGGAAGGACCCTGGTGATATACTTCATAGCAGCACAGTCCAAGAGCCATGTACTTTGGTCTGCATTCCCTAGACAAGCCCTGGACCCAGGCCCAACTCTAAACACACACCTGCCTGTAGGAACTTAGGAGAAAATGTTTCTGCCAGACCCAAGCTAATGAGTTGCTTTGACCTTTATACATGCAATTTTACAGCATCCTTAACTGCAGGTGCTGTTCTCACATACTGCTGTCTTCCTTTTCCACTGCTAGTAGCTATGTGTTTCAGTAGCACCTGTCAGTGTTACAAGCATGTTTTAAAAATTCTATTTTATGCTTTCCTGTTATTTTAGCGAAAGAAGGATGCACAGGTAGTCAAATTAGCCTTTCCTGAATCATTCCACTATTTCCCATATTTTTCCACTATATTTGTATTATTTTCTTCTAACATACACAGCCACTTCCTTTTAAATAGTTTCTGTATATGATCATGCTTCATCCACAACCCAATCTAGCTTACTTCTGCTCTTCTTTTTTTGCATATGCAGGATAAGAAAAGAAGAAATCTTGCTTTTGGCCATGCAGATATGGTAACATTTCTGGGAAAATTCCATTTAGATTATGAGCTAGTTATTGTCAAAATTTGAGAGCTCCTTTGCAGACAGTTGTGAGATGTGGTAGACTGCAAAAAGCATTTATGTTACTTAGCTAGTTACACACAACACTTAAAGCTAGCTTTGAGTTTTCAGTGACTCATTGGTATGTCCTATAATTTCGGTGCCACTGTAGTCAGGAGAAATTCAGCAAAATCAGTAGGTCAAGTGGAAAAATTCAGATAATAATTTCTGGATTGTTGATTTGATAACCAAATCTTTATATTTTCTTGGCTTTTCTGTTTTAGCAGGAGAAAAATAATCTGTTACAATTAATATGACTTTTCTTATCTGTCACGAAAATATATAAAGTTATGGAGAACTTCAGTAACTATGTTTCTTAAACTCAGTCCCAATCCCAAAGGGAATAAATATCTTTTCCCTACGCAAACCAGGTTCAGAGTAATGCTACTGAGGGTCATACTGCTGTATCCAACAAGCAATAGAAATTCCATAGTTTTTCCATTCATAGACAAATATGTCTGACCACAGTGAATGAAATACAGAATCTTTGGAGCAAAAACTAAAATGAAGAATAAAAAAGCATTCTGCAAATAAATAAATTTAGAAAACAAGGGGAATGGCATATGCTAAGAATCAGCCTTCAGACAAACTGGCATTTCAATGGCAGAACTCAAAAGCATTTTTGATAGAGAAAACCTGAACTATTCAAATCCCATTAATTAGATACTTTTGAGGTGATGCAGAGAATTGAAACTCTTAATTATCTGCCTTGTCTTTTTCCTCCTTCCCTAGAGATGAGCTCACTCACCTGTTTAAATTCACCTTCTCATCATTCCAACCCAAGGCTGTCAGTGCAGTCCTTTGCAATGGCGTGCTTACCAACATTTGTTACTGACAGAGAACATCTTCAAGATCAGTAGCTTGCTTTTTTTGTACAACAGTACATATGTCAAACCTTCTTTAAGAAGTGCATAACCACTGCTAAATAATCCTGTGATAGTAGAGAAATCTACCCCCATGGATTGACAGTGCACATTGTTCAGGTAAAGCTTTGAAGTCATTCTCATCAAGATGTTTATGTCCTTTCATATACACTGATATCAAGGGGAAATTAGACTCACAAGTAAGAACAAAAAATGAAACACGGATGTAGATCTTAGTTTCAGTGCCTAACCTACAATTCTCAAATACTAAGAAAAGCTATCTGGAAAGTCAGTTTAGTATTAAAGAAGAAAGCAGTTGATCTTTCATTCTTAAACACATCTAAAACCAACATAGGTCCCCAGCAGAGTACATATCTGATCAAAATACAGATTATGGCACCACTTAGTACCTAGGTTTGCTCCTTGCGACATGGCACATGTGTGGGATTACATTACCATAGCACAGAAATAATAATTTACTTTCATCTATCTGGGCAAGGCCACGTCTTAGCTTACTGTAGCTTCAGGGTTTTACTGGGAAGGATTTTCTCAGCCCTCACATGTGGATGGAGGGTCATTATTTCACCGAAGCACACTACAAATTATCATAAACTGACTTAATCCGTATGTAAAACAGATAAATTATTTCTATGCACATCTTCAAATTTTACACATTTTCTCTGGCTCTCATGAATGAAGAGGAAGAAACAAGCTGCTTAAAGGTCATTTTGAAACACTATGCAAAGCTATGTCTATTGCTCAAGACACTCGATTCTTCTACTGCAGCAATCTGGAAAATTATTGACCCCTGTCTAATGTAGTTCTTTTTTTCATCATACTGAATGTCTTCAGTGCAGGAAAAAAAAAAAAAAAAGCCATTTATTATGTGGACTCCAAACAACTTAAACCAGTTTTAAATTCTCAGCACAAAAGCCAGATTCTTGGGCACAAAAGACCTACTCACTTTCTGATGGATGAAAATTAGAGCGTGTTCCACTCACCTGATAGTCTGATGTTGCAAAGTGTCTGGATCAGTGGCATTCACTGTTAACACGACACTGCCAATAGGGATGTTTTCTTGTTTCGTCACTGTCATTGGGTTTGGGTGGAAAACTGGGCCTTCATTCACATCCTCAACGGTGATCTGAACTGTCGCTGTGGAACTGGGGCCATAGGCTATGTCTGGAATCAGCGGGTCTTCATTTTCTACTTTGATCAGCAGTGTATGAAATGCCGAAATCTCATAGTCTAAAGGCTGTAAAACACATCATACATAAAATCAGAATGCAAGGTGAAAGGACAGTCGTTAACACTTTTTCCTTGTACCCCATTGCAAACTTGCAGAAGACAGAGTTGGCCAGAGAGGGACAACAGCATTCATCACCTCTGACACCTGGTCAGCATTTAGCATTAGACCAATGGTAGTTACAAAGTGCATTGAAGACAATGAACTTAATGGACTAACGAAAGATGGAGATGTCCCTCTATCCAAGAGCATATACTTTTTTTGCTATACCTCGTACATGTAATTTAATTCTCACATATACATGCTTATTTATGACATAATATGCACTTAGTAAACAAATCAGAGTCATACTTAATAGCTACTTATGATAAGTAATATAAGGCTATTTTCTAGACTCCTACATTGAAATCAAAAGCACTGCCATGCAAAAATATTCCATTGGTCTTAAGAATTCAAAATGCCACCTCTGAAGTCAAACAAAGAAAATTCTGGTACAGGCAGCAACTAGGACAATTTTATTTTTTTTAAAGTGTGAAATATAAGACTATCTTCATACAAAGCCAACAATTTTTTTCATGGGACACTAGAAATGCAGGACCAAAGAGGGCTCTCCAGTTCAGTCTGAACCCATATCCCTTACCTCCTTGGTATTTGCATCTGTGTTCTCTGGGAACAAAATGTGGCTCATGAATTCTAGTTGTACCCTCAGCCACAAACACAACTGTGTTGTAAAATCTGACTATCAATTGCGATGCTTACCACAAATCTAGCTGTTACTTAAGCACAATGGTAATATAGTTAGCAACAGGTAGGTCCCTATGACTAAAGAAGTAAAGTTACTGTGACAGAAGAAGAGACTATACTATTGCTTGGACAAGGACTGGTAGCCAACTCTATCTTTTTGAGCAACCTATCCTTGCTGTGCTTTTCTTATGCAGTAAATCCAGTGGGTGGACCTTGCAGTAACAATACAGTACAACAGCAAATGGTTCTTACTTTGACAACAGAGAGCATTCCCTCGTTAGTCTGGGGATTGGTATGGATTTCAAAACTCTGCCCCGGATTTCCATTGATAATGGTGTAGACAGCTTTCCATGCTCCGGTTGCTGGGTCATCTCGGTCACCAACGGTTAAGTTTACTATTACACCTGTGACTCCCTCCTTTACTGTGGCTTGAAACTAGAAAAAAAAACGAGAGGAATCTGTTACTATTTTCAGTTAATGACAGCACACACACACATATGAAATATCCAAGCCAGCATCAATTATTTACCACAACAGGAGAAAGATGTAATCCTTGACTGAAACGGAATGTTATAGGCTCTAAATAATACATTCTCACTCACGAAATATAAGGTAGCACATTACAGCTGCTCTCCGTTTAATAGGTGGCAGATAAGCAGCAAGGTGATAGGAAGCAAGTTTTGGAAGATTCTGAGCACAAGAAGACAGTTCATCTCATATGACTGGGAAAGTGAATCCAAAAATATATGCAGTGTTGCACAGGTGCCTATGCTGTCAGGAAGGGAACTATACTCCCAGCTAAGCAGAAGGGAAGGCTGACTAACATCACCCATTCTTGCTCTCGAATGTACTATTATTTACAAATAATCCAGTTTTGCATTTCAGGCTATTATTGTCATAAATTCTCCCATCCATATTAGTTTTTCACTACACTGCTAACAACACATAAACCATGTTTCACAAAAAGTGTTCCCATACTGCTTTTGGGAGGAATTGCTCTAAGAGACTCAAAAATAATTGGACCTCATGCTACCACTTAGTCTGCATAACTATAAGTCAGTGTTACTTTTTTTTTCCAGTGGAAGAATTTTTTATGACCTTGTGAAGTTTGTTGCACTGCTGTACTATTCATCTAGCCAAGCCCTACGAGAAAATTCTCTCTAATTTACTACCCAGACAGTGTACAACATCATTCTTATTTATGTAGGAAAAACATTAAGCGAACCATTCGAAAAGCTTGTAAGGGTCAGACTTAATAATACTCCTCACCTTTCAAGTACTTGAGGCTGACGTGCTAAAAGCCCAGTATATAAGAATGATAAGATAATACCTGCTTTATAGGTGGATAAACCAGAATGATAACATACCTAATCCTCAGAAGTGCTGAACATCAGCAGTACCATTAAAGATCATTAGGAAATCTTAACATTTCGAGGGATTAAGCCTTCAAAAGTCCAAAATTACAAACTTTAATGACGCAAATAGGCTTTGCGGCATATGCGCTGCTTAAAAGCTAGAGCGCTGGTGACGATATATCACTCAAGGGCAAAAATCACCCAAGTGGCTTCAAGACCTGAGCAGACTAAATGCCTTTTGTTCTCTCTTATAGACCACATGAAGTCATAACACTACAGAAGATTTAGTGAGAATATCGAATCAAGAAAATGGCATTTTATTAATATATAGATTTCACAATCTGGGCAAATAGTTGGTAAAATGGATTTTCTCATAATAAAATAGAGAGGAGGCTATTTCTTCTCCTGTGTTCATTTATCTTTTTTTTTTTTCATTTCTTCCAATAGATTTGACTTCTGTTTCCAAACCCTTTTTCAGTTTAGCTGTGTAATTTGAGTGTATGCAATCAGTTCAAGCTTTCCAGCCTCAAACCTGATTTTATAAAAGGATGACACTTAGGATTGGCTATTTCTATCTTCTTTGGTCTATTTAACAACGAATTTAAGGTTTCTTTTGATTTTGATAGTTAATATGTAATAGGTAGTGATAGAGCTTTGTTTCAGACACATCATAAAGCTCATTTGCAGTTTAATTAACTCTAAATGATACTATAACAATATTTTTGCTTGCTTTTAAACAAATCAAAAGAAAAGCTCTATTAAGAACCTTGGAAAAACCAGAGGAATGTTTACCAAGACTATTCCTTCCTGCTCAGCAAAACGCTGCCACTGGAAAGCACAGTGGACAGCTTTAACTGAAAACAGGCGATTAGCCTCTTTGATATTTTTGCATTATTTCATATTTTCTTAGCTTAAGCATGTATAAAACAAGACACCAGAGCCATAAGGGTCAGAATTTTTCCCAACAAGTGTTTAGTACCAAACAATTTCTATTTATCTTTGTAAAAAGGTGAGTAGACTTCAGGGAACCTAATAATAAAAAATCTAACCCTCAGCTGTGACTGGGCATCTGCTCCCAAGTCATACTGATCCTTCTGAAAAATCTTTTCCTTAATCCACTAGTCTGATTCAATTAAGTGTTCAGTACTCCCTGGATGACCTTGGGAACAGTAAGACGTGTTAGGGTAATATATTTAAAGATCTGGCTATTTGATTCAGATACAAAATTGTGAAGCCAGTGAGATAAATTCATTATGTTTACCCCACCAGTGCCAGACCATTATGGAAAAGGTTGCCATGATGTGCCAGGTAGTTCAAAAAATATTGAAGGTCAGTTTAAGGATATCTAATTCAAGGCTATCTCAGCTGGGGCTGGCTTTCTCCTGCATTCCTATTTTCTCTTATTTAGGAAGGGCTGTCGGTAGCTTCACTTGCAGTGAGGTAGTAGTGCAGAAAGGGCACCTAGGCTCGCTGGGGGCACAAAACTGCAGAGTTTCTGACACCTGCAGATCAAGGAAACGACAATGTCTACAGGCAAAGGCTCTGCCAAGCCAAGTAATTCCAAGCATAGCTGAATTCACTGCTAGCGTTCTTTGCATTTTAGAAATGACCATATAAACACAGAGGGTACTTGAAGCTGTCTGGAACACTAGACTAAAATCTGTTCAAGATGGATGAAGAAGCAGAATGATCAAATCACTGAAGTTCTCACATGGGTGTACTCTAAATTTATAACGTGAAAAGTGTAATAAATCACAGATTTGTGATTGCAAAAGACAAATACCTACTGTGAAATGAGGCCCAGAAAAATACAGTTACATTATCTAGAAGGTGAACTCTTTTGCCTGTTCAGCCACCTCTACATAAAGAATAGACTTCCCAGTATTCAGAAAAAATCTGCTATGTTTGTACTGTATCCCTTTCAAAACCAGAAATCAAGAAGGGAATTTAAAAAGTATGAAAGGACAAAAATTGGAATTAGATTTGGAAAGAGAGAAAAGATAACCACAGGTTCATCATATTTCAAAATGAAAGGTTTACATTCTCAAAGCACTGTGAGAGTCTGATCCAGTGCTCTAAAATAAAACCCCGTAGTGGCTAACAGAAATAATTGGATCACAAGTTAATTGATTTTACTCTTTTTAAATATCTGCACACCCCCTAAGCACCTCTATAAATTAAGAATAAAATAGATGAGTTCAGTACTTTATTTAAACTGCTACCATTTGGACCCACATGAAAAATAATAAGTTAGAAGGCAAATACCCTGGGCCAGGATTGCATTTGGCTGGAAGGAGCTCTGTTCATTTCCTATAACTGAGCATTTGAATGTGTAAGGTTAACTTGCTCTGTGGAGCAATATGCCATATGGTCATTTATTGTGCTTATCATGCATACAGCCTAGAAATTCTAGTATTTCTGTCATATTTAAAATTTTATAAACAAAGGGAAATAAAGACCTGATTCCCCTTTTTCTGCACCCAAAAACTTTTGAAAAGATACAGAAAGAGAACAGACTGATAGCAACTTTGAAGGAAACAATGAGTGAACAGCAGACAGCAGTCTAAGCTTAATCATCAGGTTTTTGTAGACAAATGAGATTTTTTACAGGGAACAGAAAGACATCAAGGAAATACTGTGATGGATGTAAATTAAGAGATCCCACAAGCTTGTGAGGAAGCACAAATAGACTTGAAAACGTAATGAGTGAGCAATGTTTGAGGGACTGATGGGAAGCAGGTATCAACACTGGATATTCTTGGGAGAGATCACACAGATGGTTCCACCAGGTATGGAGGTCCCTGAGAGTGAAAACAAGCAGCTGATATTTCTTACAACAAAGGAGGCAGTAAAGGGACGCCAAGGAGACAAGTAACATTCAAACCAACCGTGTTAGAACACAGCCTGTGTAACAGCATCGGGGTAGCTCTGAGCAGAAGAGAGAATCTCAATTCAGCAGTCAAACTTTACTCCTCCCTTCCCTGGATCTTGCAAGCCTGCTCCAAACTATGTGCAAAGCTTGAGAAGATAAAATGAAAAATTCTGGTTGCAAGCTGGCAGGAATTTTATCGTACGGAGTATAGGAGATTCAAGATGGCAGGTATCTGCTGAGAATATTTAGACCTGCATGAAAGGCTCACTGATGGGAGGAGTCAAGTAGGGAAACAAACAAGGTGAACCACAGATTAATTTCAGTAGCTGTTTCCTGGTGAAGCCAGGATATAACACAACACTGACGCAAATCCTCCTCCACACTGAGCTCTATGGTGAACTGGTGGGACAGCAAAATGGCTCAGTAGGGTCCCAGCAAAAACCAGTCTTGTCAGATATCCAACATGGAGCAGATACACGAGAAGATCACTTTGTAAAATGTTATCACCTGAGAATCCAAGCACTAACCATCTCAATCTCAAACAAAAATAGAAATAGTACCTAATCTGTATGAAAATTGGATTCTTACTGACAGCCTTCTTTAAAGCTCCTGTAGTGAGTTTCTATTTACTGGCTTCTCGGAGCAGAGGAACAAATGGACGTAACTGCATCAGAATGACCTGAATGTCTACTGTCCAGCCCCAGCATGAACGTGCAGCAATAACCTTAACACCTTTATGAAACCATCAAAAAACTGTCTCAGAGGGGGTACCGATACACCCAAATTAAAGAGCTGCCACAAGCAGCAAACACAATGCAAGATAAACGTATCTGGGATTGATGATCACTACCCCATGGCTCATTAAGATTCTGCGTGCTGTGATTCCCAGTCAAGAACAAACAAATTAAAACTGCATGTCAGTTTGCATTTATCAGGGCAACATTCCAGCTGAAGGCATTCTGTGCTACTATCATGTGTTTATTTCCCCATCTATATATCATAAAAGATGAGAAATAATGGGATATATTAATTCACACATCTTTATTGGAAATTCTCCAGGGAAACTGTATTATTGTATTTGTCTTCCTCCAATGAAGTCCACTGCTTTTGCAACCGTAACTACTACTATCTACCATCTTGAAAATATGAAATTTGAATATCTACTTTCTTGAAAATATGAAGACAAGCTTATGCAATCTCTTGCAATC